GTGAAAGTGTGGGGAAGGAGCTTTGACTTCATTTCTCATTCTTGAACAGGAAACGGCAGCTTTTTAAAACTTCTAAAATATTCTCTGTGTGCGTGTGTGTGTGTGTGTGTGTGTGTGTGTGCCTCTCTTGTATCCAGGAACTTTGTACCTGTTAAATAATTCCTGTGCTGGGTATTTCCCTAGCACATGAAAGCCTCTTGGGTTCAAAATGGGTGGGACTGAGACATCTCCCCAATCTACTTGACTGAACAGAACTTGGCAAAGACAGGAGGCTTCCCCTACTGTTTTCAGACATGGCTAGTTCCTCCCTACATGGGCCATTCTGTCAGTGCTGAGTTTTCGCCTTTAGCTACCAATTATACTCGTTGTTTCCTGTAAGCTCTGCGATTCCCCGCTTGCTTCCCAGATAGAGGCAGCAGGAGACCCCCCCGCCCCCCGTTAAATCCAGCAAAGCAGGGGAGTGTGTGTCTTATTATATCCGCTGTGTACTACACCAGACTCCTCAGCTGAGAGCTGCTTCCAACGACTCTGAAGTAATCTCCACAGAAGCAAAACATTCACTACAGATTTGGCAATTGCGTCAAGATTATGAGATTCTGCACATACAGTGGATGAATTAAAAAGCATCATGGAGTGAGTACATACTATAATCAGATTATGCATATCGCCAAGTAGGATTGCCAGCCTTAACAAGTTCAAATACAAGATGTTCAGCGGCGTGTGATTTCCAGATAAGCAACAAAGTTTTAGTATAAGCGTGTCCCGTACAATATTAATAAGGCAAATGTTAATTATACTCACAATTTTAAGCTGCTTGTTGTTTATTTGAAAGTGACATTTAACTATATGCCGTGTATCTTCTCTGGCAATGCTGACTGGGAGAAATAAGAAAAGAGTTTTAAGGAAGGATATCAGAAGACCAGGAGAGATGCTGAGGCTGAGGAGGGAGAGCTGATAAAGAGAAAGATGGGAGTCACTGCTCTATTTGAAAAGGTGATGGATAGATCAGTTTGTGTAAGCAGAGGTTGCATACCAAGGAGTAGAATTAAGGAGCAATGTTAAGGACGTGCTGTGGAGTGTCTTCAACAACGGGCAACACTTACAGTGTAAAGTCTGCGGTACGGCGAAAGCGCATGGAGGAGAGACTTTGTTTATAAAAATGATGAGCAGGGGCAGACAGTGGAAAAGCTGACTCAGTGTTCATGGAAAGAAGATTATGATATAGCTCTACAAAGCAGACAGAAGGGAGTTTTGAGGAGGAGGGCACCATGGGCCAGAACTCATAGACGAAAGGAGTACGTTCTGGGCAGAGAAGATTTTTTTTTTTTTTTTGCAGAAAGTCATAGATCTGTAACGAATTCAAGGGACCATATTTTCCATCACTCTTTATGTTGTTTGATCATCTGTGTTCTGAAGTTGCATGAAACCCTTCATAAACATTCACACGCAGGTGAATTATTGAAGGAGTGCTTGAAAGATAAATTATCCGGGCAAGGGTGACACATGCCTTCAATCCCAACATTTAGAAGGCAGAGGCAAGAGAATTTCTGAGTTAGAAGCCAGTCTAGTCTACAGAGTGAGTTCCAGGACAGCCAGGGCTACATAAAGAAACCTTGTCTTAAAAAACAAAAACAAAAAACAAGCGGGGTGGCCTTTAGGCAGAGGCAAGCGGATCTCTGTGTTGAGGCCAGCCTAGTCTTCAAAGAGAGTTCCAGAGCAGAGTTATTACACAAAGAAACCCTGTTGCAAAAAAAAAAAAGTTTAAAAAGAAAAGAGTAATTGCCTGTGAGCCCCCACACAAGTGCTCACTCATAGAGGTTAGTGAGCAAGATATCAGCCAGAGAAAAAAAATCCCCACATAGGAAACTAAAGGTTGGTTATATGAGCACTTATCCCCCCACCCAAGGAATCCACAGGATTACCCTAATATGTAATTTAGGAGTAAAGCACTTTTATTTCAGACTCAAAAATTAGCAGAAACTCTAGGGAATACCTGGCTCCATGTATGTAAGACCACATCTAAGTTCTGAGAGTTTGGGAGAAGACTGAGTGCTGGTCTAGATCTCCTGATCTAGAAGGTCTCTTTTTTCCTTTCTCTTTGATAACCATGCTTTAAACACATGAGCACCACCGTCAACATTCATTCTATCTCAGACACAGATGGGGAAGTACTGGCGAGAGTTCTCCTGGCAAGAGACATTATTGGAACGCCTCCCTTTCGTGATTTTGCACATTACCATAGCTATGAATGCCTAAGTGAGAAATCTGCCTTTGCACCTTCCCATTACTGCCATATATTTGAACGTGTGGATGTGTGCTCCTGTATAAACATGCCAATGCACGCTAATGCGTGTGAGTGTAACTACTTCCTGAATAGTGGAAATTGTGCTACAATCTATAAAAAGACCATGGAAACTCTTCTTGCAACTGTTGTGACATTTTTCAGCTGAAGTTCCAATATTTTTCCAAAAGCTAAGTACCGAATTATGATTACAGCCACAAATTAGCACAGTGTGCTGTTATTTCTAGAATAATGGCCTTGGAGAGATTTACTTTGTCCAGTTTATTGAAAGACTTGGGAATGATGGCCGTTCCTTGACCACAACAATTAATGTTTTAGAAGGCTTCCCCCTAGTAGGAAAATCTATTCCCAATTCAAGCCTATGTCACTTTCTCTTCTATCAGATTCAGGGTAGCTGGTCCTATTCTGAGGTCCATGATCCATTCAGTGTTGACTTTTGTAGAGGGTGATAAATATGCTCCTATTTGCATTTCAATTGAATTCCATTTGTCAGCATCTCTGTTTTCATTGTCACTACAAAACCCTAATGAATTGAGCAGTACAAAACCCTAATGAATCAGGTAATATAGACTCACTGGTGAAGGTAGAGTATCACAAAACGAGGTTCACTTTCACCTGCCAAGACTCCCTGGAGTGAAAGGGGAAAGCAACCTGTGTGAGACAATGCTGGTGAGATTAGGAAGCAAAGGAAATCAAATAGACTGTCTCGGGAGTGAGTCTTGCAATCTCACTGTCATTTCCCTAACTATGCACCAGCATCTTAGAAGACAAGGAAGCCAAGAACGAGAGAGCAGTGTTGGTGACTCTACTTCTGCCTTGAGCTCTATTCGCTGAGCCCACCCCAGTTCTCACCACCTAGAAAACACGGCCAAGAGATCTCAGGAGGGTATGAAGTAAGGAGCAGGCAGATACATGCTCTGCCTGAAGACAGTGGAGTGAGGCATCCAGTCCCATTATGAATAAAATACCTCTGTGGCTCCAGCAGACCTCAGGGTTCATATCTGACTTAAGGTTCCATAGCAATTCTTTAAGACAAAGTGACGAACTTTTATTCTAATCACTCATGTCGGGCTCTGACTGACGCTCCTGATCATGGTCATTTTGTCCTCTCAAGCAAATGAGAAAGTGGACTAGACCAAAGCTTATACAAACCAAGCCCTTAAACTAAAGGACTTAAACATGAAAGAACAACACCCAGAGTTCATGGGACCAACGCCTATGGAAATGGTCATAGAGATGAAAGCATCAAGTTGGCACCTTCTAGGCAGATACAGATGTTCTGTATACCACTTATTGCCACAGAATTTGAAGGGATGTCAGACAGCATCTCATCTCCACTCCACTTCTTTCTCAGAGACTTGAGTTATAGTGACCAGCCTAATAGCCAACCTAATTTCTAATCCTGAACTCTTTCTAGTACTCATAATGACAACTTACTTTTTGATCCCAAAAAAGGGTGGACTGGTCCCCATATTGGGCGCCAGATGATGACAGAAGTTACAAAATAACCCCACACTAGCTCAGAATTATGTATAATAAAGGGTTATTTATGTAGGGGCAGGGTCACAGATCACAGTCCTAGATCACAGTCGTCTGCACAAACAGGGAACAGGAACCAAATCTAGCAACCGGAAGAGAGAGGGAGCACAGTGCTATACTTCAGCTAGTGTAAGAGACCACACCCAAGTGGGCTGGTATCTTAAAGGCTATTGGCTGAAGGAGCTCCCACAGCAACTGGCGTGTACTAATTCTAAGTAGTTTACAAGAAGAGCTACTTCACTGAATCCTACAACCAACCCACACACTGTTCTTGCCATTCTTGGGTTTAGAATCTGAAACCCAGTGTGGCTAAGCAATTTGCTCAACCCCAAAGCCAGCAAACACATACCCTTTCAGGTCAGCCATAGTGGCAGACACCTTTAATCCCCAGTGCTTCGGAGGCAGATCTCTGTGAGTTAGAGGCCAGACTGGTCTACACAGTGAGTTCCAGGACAGCCAGAGCTACATAGTGAGACTCTGTCTCAAACAAACAAAAAACTTCTAATCCTAAAGAACTTGCTTATTTTTCTGCCATCTGTCTCCTGACTTCTTCGCCCCAGGAAGCACCTGTAGAGAGATTGACTCTCTGATAATTCTCTTCCTTCCACTTCCAAATGCAGTAAATTATTAAATTCTGGTTCACGTCCATGTCACTGTATCAGAAAAGAAAATTAAGTCTCTCTATACTAGGGGTGTGGAAAGAATAGCAGCGTACTCATCCTTATTCTTTCCAAGATGCCTGAGTCTTGCCGTGCTTTAAGTAATTAGATTCCTAAGGGGAGCTGCGTTTTCTCCAGTTTCAACTCCTTCGGCTGTATGTGAAAAGCAAAATAAGTATATATCAGCATTAAATAACAGGATTACGGCAACAAAATTGTCATAACTTTGAGAAGAGCTTCTCCCGACTCTAGTAATCAATTACCATATTGTCAAATGAACCCCAGGCTGGAAGCAGAATGTGTGCTGAGCCACCGGCTAATCCCACCACACTTCTTGTCGGTATGAAAGCTCTCACTGTTAGTAACCCACCAGCCAGGGCTGCCTGCGGACACCTTGTTTCTTTTACTTTTCTCTTTTCGGTTTCCGATGCAAGTAAAATGATCCTTGGGGCGTAGGAGCCAATAACTAACTTGTTTCTTGCTTTGTCCCTGCTGTGCAGAACCTGAAGCGTGTGGCCGAGACCTGGATGGATGAATTTGCCGAGTATATTTACCAGCGGCGGCCAGAGTACAGGCACCTCTCCACCGGGGACATCTCTGCGCAGAAGGAGTTGCGCAAGAGACTCAAGTGCAAAGACTTCAAATGGTTCATGGCTGCAGTGGCCTGGGATGTGCCGAAGTTCTACCCTCCGGTAGAGCCCCCGCCTGCGGCATGGGGAGAGGTGAGGAGACCCGCCCTACCTGTGAGAGCCTGGGGAGAGACAGCCAAATCCTTCCCTCCTCCTCCTCATAGCTTGAGAAGAGGGAGAGACTGCTCAACCTTCCCTCTCTTCTATGTCAGCCTAGCAGGTTAATTTAAAAGCATCCCCATGAATGAGTGTCTAACTTCCTTTTACAAAGCGCTAGAAGTAAAGACCCGACCCACAGTGCCGATATCCCATCCAAGAATTACTGAACACAGCTGATGATGCTTTAAATGGATTTTTTTTTAAATATGCCCCCCCAAAAGATATCTTAACTTCAAATTGACAGGATTGCCACGGGAGCTCATAGAGAATGAAAACAGCATCTTGTAATAATCATGATCAGGTATCAGATATTATAAGACTTGTGATCAGATGTGAGTAAGTCCCTCACTGTATTCTGAGCAGCCTTGTTGCTGATTATATTTGCAAGAACAAGGACAAAGAAAAGGAGGGCTGAGCTCGTCTCCTAACCAGGGTGGCCATCTCCTAACCTTGTGCCATTAAGAAGAATTTAAGGCACGTAGTTGCCACACTGGTTCCTTAAATGAGCACTATACCCTTTCTGCTTTTCAACACTCTGACCTGATTTTTTTTTTTTTTCGTGATAATCTCAAATGGAAAGATCCAGATAGCTTTGGGCCCCAGATTTAAAACATCCATCTTTGGGAATAAAATGGATTGTTCCACGGCTCTGCTCATTTAATACTATTACTGTAGCTTTTTCCCTCCAGTAATGTATGCCAAAACAAAGACTCAGTCCAGTGGGGTAGATTTAGCCTAGCAATTTAACCTGCTTTTAGAAGAGGCTCTCACGGGCAAATGCTGGCTGGGCTGTGTGTTCACACCATCCCAGGGCCGACTGCCAGACAGTGCCCGAGCCTTTCCCTTGTTGTCTCTGGTTTGGGTGTGTTTAAGACCTCATTACCCGGTTAGTATCTATGGTCACAGAGCTCTGACAAACAGCTGCTTAATCCAAGGGACGTGATGAGGGGCTGGCAATGGGGTTGGTTCAGTTGATAGAGTATTTGTCTAGAATGTACAAAACCCTACCCTCAGCATCTAATCTCCACACCTAGGAGGAGGAGGCACAGGAATCAGAACATACAGACGTAAGAGACTCTGTGTGAAAAATGTAGATAGCAAGATGGGATAGGTTGTTTTCTGATTGTACTTTCTATATTAGCCAATATTTATTTGTTTGTTTATTTATTTTGGTATTTCGAGACAGAGTTTCTCAGTAGCTTTGGAGCCTATCCTGGAACTAGCTCTTATAGACCAGGCTGGCCTCGAACTCACAGAGATCCACCTGCCTCTGCCTCCCAAGTGCTGGGATTAAAGGTGCGCGCCACCAGCACCCAGCAAATAGCCAATTTCTTAAAGGGATGGATGAAAAAATGTAAGAGCATAGAACATATCTGTGAGAGAGCGTCACATTCATCACACTTGTACAATTTTTTCTTTCAGGGGCCCTTTTGGCTTGTGTTATACAGGGAGATCATCTTGTTTTGCTTTCTACAAGAGAATCTCCTGTGTGTAGCTTAGGTTGCCCTCCAACTCACGATCCACCTACCTGGCATGCAAGTGTGCATGACTATGTCTTGGTTGGGAGTTTTTTTTAAAAAAAAAAAACTTTTTATTTTAGAATACTTCTGTTTAGAGACACATGATTGTAATATAGAAAGTTTGTACCTCCCATTTAGTAACACTTAGTCCTTCTAGTGGTTCCCACATCGACTGGTGGATAATCAGCTGAATTGATTCTTATCAAGATAATAACACTCAGTAAACTATAGTTTATTCAGATTTAACCAGGTTTTATACTGCAGTCTGTTTTCCTTTCCAGGATCCAATTCAGTATCTGAGTAGGCTTTGTAACATCCTACAAACTTTAAAGCGATTGCTAGTGTTAGGCTCACGAAAAGGCCCATAAAAGACCACCAGACACGCGTGCAATCAGCAAGAATGCTTAATTCTCCAGAGCCAAATGTTCCAGCATGCTGGGGCAGCGCATCTGACCCAACACAAAATGGTGTCCCCGAAAGACGCTCGTAGACTCCTTTTATACACAGCCAAACAAATTCCAAAAACAGGTCCTTCCATCTATGATTGGCTTAAGCAAGTGGCAATTATATTAGTACATTTCTGATTGGTTAGGGCTAGCAGGGGCTGGCTAGGGCTACAATGTTGTTCATCTTTGGGCATGTTTGGACAGATCTCAGGATCTGTCCCTATTTGGTCATTGCCTTGAGATGCTGCAGGGGGCTGACTCAGACTTAGTACATGCAGTTCCCCTTGTCCCTGCTGTCAGGAGTGTTGTTGGTTGATTTTCTTTGATCATGGGCTTTCTCGGAAACTGCCTGTCTAGTTTCAGGAAGCGGGGACTGGGGACTAGTTTTCAGCCAGGTTACTCGGATACTGTCATGGCGTTTGCTTAGCCTTCTCAACTAAAGCAGACGTAGCTCGTCAGCAAGGACAGTAGGTCAGCCGCGGCTATAGTAAAATACTTAAAAGAGCAATGCAAACACTGGGCCTTTTATAGGGAGGAAACCACAAACCAGCAACAGCCAGACCCAAGATCCTTCATGCGAGTCCTGGGCCAAGAAGTAGGGAACTCGTGGTCTCATTCAGTTATGCTCAGAGTCGCTTGCCACCTGCTTCTCTACCCCACCCTGATTCTGGGTAAACAGTTACAAGGCTGTCTTTGGTCCTGGTTGTTGGGCCTCAGCTTGTGAACAGTGTTATAGACCATAACCAGCTCTCGGCTCTCTCCTACCTAGCTCATTCCTTGGCTCTTCCTTTCTGCCCTGAAGATTCTCTTCAAAGGAGACCACTTAAGATATGAACTCAGGCCATTAAAAATATTTTGAAGGCCTCTATCTTTCTCTTTCTCTCTCTGTCTCAGTCTCTGTCCCTCTGTCTCTGTCTTTTTTTCTCTCTCTCTTGTGTGTGTGTTGTGTGCACGCACATGCACATGTATAAAAATCAACGACTCTGAATGACTTGACCCCTCTTGCAGTACCTCTTGCTAGCCCTGGCATACTTTTCTCTCCTGACCTCACCAGCTTTTCAGCATGACAAGCACTCCTCCACGACCTTTGCACTGCACTTTGCCCCACTTTGACTCTTCCTGCCCGTGAAATTCTGTGGCTCCTTCCATCACCTTCTTTAGGACTGGGGTGGTTTGAAAAGAATGGTCCCCAAAGAGGGTGACATTTTTAGGACCTGTGACCTTGTTGGAGTAGGTGTGGTCTTATTGGAGGAAGTGGGTCACTGAGGAGGCGGGCTTTGAGGTCTCATATGTGCTCATGCTACACCCAGTGAGGCAGACCACTTCCTGTGGCCTGCAAGATGTAGAGCTCTTAGCTCTTCTACCGTGATGTCCAGCCGTGATGATAATGGACTAAACCTCTAAAACTCTAAGCCATCCCATTAAATGATTTTCTTTATAAGAGCTGCCTTGATCACAGTGTATCTTCACAGCAATTGAAACGCTACATAAGACAGGGACCTAACTCAAAAGAAGCTAACAGTTCAGCAAGGCTTTCCGTAGTAGCCTAATTAGCCTGCGCCCACGTGGACACACAGAAACTCACCCTCTTTCCTCCATTGCTCTAGCATCCATCACTGTTTCAGACTAGATTGTTTATTCATCATGTTTCTTATTCTCTCTGCCACTGGAGAGCAACCCCCACAGCACAGAGATTCTGCTGGTTTGTGGTGTTACTAACTACTCTTTGGCAGTGAGAAATGATGTCTGGCATGCAGGGGGAACTCAATGATTATTTGTTGATGGAGGGAAATATGAATGGATGATCAATGAAGACCATACCCATGGACCTGTGTATCTAAGCCTGCACAGAGCACACTTGGGACTCATTCTGTCTCTCACTCAGAGGAGGGGGGTCTCTGTGTCATCTCTTCCTTCGCCCAGCAAACTCCAGCTCTTTGGAATAACAAATTGCAAATCATTGATCCCGGTGGACTGATAGGCGCTTTGTTGCAAAAGGTTCTATTTTATCATCCTAAGGAAAAAGGAAAAATTTCAGTGATTTCAAGACTCTTGGGGAAACCCTCTCACTTAAAAAACAGAAGAGACCCAAGTCACAACTACTAGAGACCAACACCTATTGAAAGCCACCCATCCTTCGCTTCCCAATGACTGCAGCTGAATCAGGGGAGGAATGGGGCCCAGACAGACTAAATGTGAGCCATGCAACTGAGTCAAGCACTCCATAGTTCTCTTCAAACAGAAGCAACAAGCTTTTCCAGGACACTGTCTCGTGTAGGATGAGAGCAGGTTTAAAGTGGAAAACCGTTCTTCAACCACTCACATATGGAGTCTCTCTTTGTAGCAAATGTAAAATTAAAGAAAATGAACTTCCTATCATTTTCTCTTTCTCTCTTTCCCTCCTTATAATTCATGAACGTACTTAAATCACTTATAGCAGTCTTTTCTAATCCATAAAGAAAAGTTTTCTTGAACCCTAAAAACCATATGGAAGAGAGAAGAAAAGATGTAAGACAGACAATAGATACCATTTGCAAACCGTGCTATGGATTCCTTTTTCACGAAGTGTCTGCTTCCTGCTCTCGATGTGCCAGTCTTACAACACCCATTTGTCACCTTGCAACTTCGCGAAACATTTTTAGGTCTTTATTTTCAAAACTTCATCTCACTCTCAACCACTTTGACTGCTTATTTAAATACCTCCCTCAAGATGAATGTCACCCTGAATTGCGGAATGTTCGCAAAGTCGGGCACCCTAAATAAGGCCAGCTCCTCTGTGCTGCTTCCGGCTGCTGCTCCGGACTTCTGTGAACCTGTTTGCTTCCGCTTCCTGCTGACATTCTCACAGCACCCAGGATTCTTCTAATTTCTCTGTGTTCGCTTCCAGAGAAGGGAGTTCAGCACGGAGATGCATTAGCTAAAGGATCGAAGGGGTGTTGCTTCTTCCAAACAAAGACGGATGCAAGGA